TCAATGAAGACGGCCGTAGGGAGGGGTGCCAACGCACCTCCGCAACTCAAACCTTCAAGACCTGCAGGCGCCACCTGCCACCATTCACTGCTTTCCTCCTCGGGGCCGTGAACGGGATTTGTTCCCCTGCCGGCTGCTTGTAACTGCCAACGTCAGTTCACCTCCGCATTATGGCGCATTGGCCACCCCCCGTTCTTCCACCAAGGCGTCGCATGTGCCGGCGTGATGCAGTCGCCCCCTCTCCCCGACCCCTATCGGGGTGATGTTTCGATCCGTGCCGCCGCGGCGTCACATGTGCCGCCGTGGTGTCACTTGTGCGGTCGCTCCCGCTCCCCACCCCTTTTGTACCCGAGCACTTCAAGGACTGTAAACCGCAGGCTGGGGCACGTCAACACCTACCGTCCCCGATCTGCTTCTCGGACATCCGCTTCGACCTTCCTGCCCTCTTCCCCACCCCGACCCAGTGAGGACCATCATAGGCCTCACCTGCGAGGACCATCATACATAGGACTTTTAATACATGATTAATATATGAATAAATGTATGCATGAGCTCATCGTTATCTTTAATACTAAATCCCTGCATTTTTAATACATGATCCGCACGCGGAGCATGTATTAAAAACGGCACTGTAGGCCTCACGCCCCTCGCGGCTGCCATCATCGGGGCCGCTTGGGCCGCCCTCTCCCCCTAGTGCACCAGCACGTTACGGCGTCAGTTGCCGCTGGAGGGGGCCGAGGCTCTCCCCACGGTCCCTCGGCCAACGAACACGGCCGTAGGGTTAAGTCGGGCCTGTCCTCCTACAGGGAGATTTTCGACGAAAAACCAAAAATACCCCAAAAATAATCAAAAAAATAATCCAAAAATAATCTGGGGACTGTTTTTTGAGTATGTTCTTTACCTTTTTGGGGCATTGTTGGGGTATTTTTTATTTTTCGACGAAAATCCCCCTGTAGGGGGACACGCCCGACATGACCGTAGGGAGGGGTGCCAACGCACCTCCGCCACTCCGACCTTCAAGGCCTCCAGGCGCCACCTGCCACCGCTCACTGCTTTCCCCCTCGCCGTCGCCCTCGTCCTCGTCGTCGCCCTCGTCCTCGTTCCCCCTCGTCGTCGTCCTCGTCGTCGTCCTCGTCCTCGCTCTCGCGGTGTGCTTCCGCTGGGCGGCCCAGGCGCCTCGCCGCTGCCGAGGTGCCCGTCCCCGCCGCTCAGGAACCGGAGCGCCTCGCTCGCCCCGCGCGCGCGCGCCAGCGGCGAAGGGGGACGGACGGGCCAGTGGCCAGCGAGGAGCCGGAGGAGCCGGAGGAGGGAGCCGGAGGAGGGAGCCGGAGGAGCGAAGGGCTGGAGGAGCCGGAGGAGGGAAGGGCTGGAGAAGCCGGAGGAGGGGAGGGCAAGGGAGCCCAGCGTAGGGGGGCAACGTCGTTACCAACAACGGCGAGAGACCCCGAGGGGAGGGCAAGGGAGGGCAAGCCAGGTGCGCTCGCGCCATGCCCGCGGGTCGCAAGAGCAGCGTGGACACGTGAAGCAGGAGGGCGGACAAAGCAGATTGGGTTCAGGCCCGCCCGAAGAACAACAGAAGATGGCAAACACAGATCGACCCTTGAAGTAGGCAGGCGCTTGAAATAGATTGGGATCTGGGAATCCCGAAATATCTACTTTCAACGACTGGCGTGCATCTGGCATCTTAACCCTTCCTCTTCTCTATCCGCCGACCTGGACCTGGAAGGAGGCGGGAAGAGGACGGAAGGGGGAAGACGAGGAAGGAGGGGAGGAAGAACAAGGAGGAACAGGAGGAGGGAAGTGAGTAGGATCACGGAGGGAGAGGGAGGGGGGATGCTAAGAAGAGGGAGGAGAGACGAGGGGGAAGGAGGAGAAGGAGGAAAAAGAGGAGGGGAACGACCGTCAGAGGGAGGAGTAGAAACAAAAAGAGAGGAGGAGGAAGACGGGGAGGAAGAGGAGGAAAGGAACCAGAAACCAGAAGAAGGAAGAGGAATAGGAGGACGAGAAACTTATGTAGAAGCAGGAACGGGGAGGACGAGGCGGAGGAGAAGGATAAGGAACTATAAAAAGAGGCGGAGGAAGAGGAGGCGGAGGACAAAGAGGAGAACGGAGAGGCAGCCCAAGAGGGAAGAGGGGGACAACGGCGAGGGCGAGGAGGAGGGAAAGGACAACGAGGAGGACGAGGCCCTCGAGGACGACGACAACGACGACGACGACAAAGACCAAGACAAAGACGACGACGACGACGACGACGACAAATACCAAGACCAAGACCAAGACCAAGACGACGACGACGACGACGACGACGACGACGACGACGACGAGGACGACCCTCTCGCGGCGGGCTTGCTGGGCGCGGGCGCGTTCTCCACCAGGAACACGCCGCAGTCCGCGGCGTTCTGCTGCGCGGGCGCGCGCTGCACCGTGCCCGCGCCGAGGCCGCTGACGTCGAGACCCTCGGCCGCCTCGCGGCACGCGCCCGCCGCCAGGCCCGCGGCGGCGGCGATGGCGGCGGAGCCGGCCCCCCCCTGTGCGATCCGTCCCGCCCGGGCCTCCGCTCCCTCCACATCAAGGGTTCTCCTCCTCCTCCGCCGCCTCCTCCTCCTCGTCCGCCCTCTCCCTCCCCTCTCTCTCTCTCGGGGACGGGGGGGAAGGACATGTACCCGAGCTCCCCAAATGGCCATTTCCCAAATGAAATATGGTATTGAAGAATTTGTTTTTCGCGACTGGGCCCTCCCGCTCAGCGTCGGGAGGTCTCAAATGGATTTTCACCCCGGAACCGCTCCAGGGTGAAAATCCATCTGGAACCCTCCCTCAGCGCAAAACGGCTCTCTCGGGGACGGGGGGGGCGTACCCGAACACCCAAAATTGAAATTTTCCAAATGAAATTTCTTATTGGGGAGCTTGCTTTTCGCAGCTGGGCCCTCCCGCTCAGCGTCGCGAAAACCCAAATGGATTTTCATCCCAGAACCGTTCCGGTCAGGGGTGAAAATCCATATGGAACCTTCTCCCAGCGCAAAACGGCTCTCTCGGGGATGGGGGGGAGGAAGTGTACGCGAGCTCCCAAAATGAGCATTTTCCAAATGAAATTTCTTATTGGATGGCTTGTTTTTCGCGGCCGGGCCTTCCCGCTCAGCGTCGGGAGGTCTCAAATGGATTTTCACCCCGGAACCGTTCCAGGGTGAAAACCCATCCGGAACCCTCTCCTAGCGCAAAACGGCGCTGTCGGGGATGGGGGGGTGTACCCGAGCCCCCACATGGGCCATTTTCCAAATCAAATTTCGTATTGAGGGAGCTTGTTTTTCGCGGCTGGGCCCTCCCGCTCAGCGTCGGGAGGTCTCAAATGGATTTTCACCCCGGAACAGTTCCAGGGTGAAATCCATCTGGAACCCTCTCCTAGCGCAAAACGGGCGCTGTCGGGGATGGGGGGAGGAAGTGTACGCGAGCCCCCAAAATGAGCATTTTCCAAATGAAATTTCATATTGGGGAGCTTGTTTTTCGTGGCTGGGCCCTCCCGCTCAGCGTCGGGAGGTCCCAAATGGATTTTCACCCCGGAACCGTTCCAGGGTGAAAATCCATCTGGAACCCTCTCCCCGTGCAAAACGGATTTCTCGGGGACGGGGAGAAGTGCACCCGAGTTCCCAAAATGGTAATTTTCCAAATGAAATTTCTTATAGGTGATCCTTTTTTCTCGCGGCTGCAAGGATCTCAATAAGGCCTTCTGCGAGGAGCCCAGTAAGGCCTTCTGTAAGGAGCTGAATAAGGCCTTCTGTAAGGAGCTCAAGGCCCTCTTTAAGGAGCTCAATACGGCCTTCTGTGACGAGCTCAAGAAGGCCTTCTGTAAGGAGCTCAATACGGCCTTCTGTAAGGAGCCCAAGAAGACCTTCTGCAAGGAGCCGAGCAAGGCCTTCTGTCAAGGAGCCGAGTAAGGCCTTCTGTAAGGAGCCCAATAAGGCTTTCTGTAAGGAGCTCAATCAGGCCTTCTGTAAGGAGCCCAATAAGGCCTTCTGCAAGGAACTCAATAAGGCCTTCTGTAAGGAGCTCAATAAGGCCTTCTGTAAGGAATTCAAGAAGGCCTTCTGTAAGGAGCTTAATAAGGCCTCCTGTGAGGAGCTCAATGAGGCCTTCTGTAAGGAACTCAATAAAGCCTTCTGTAAGGAGCTCAAAATGGAACCAAATAATTTTCACCCCGGAACGGTTCCAGGGTGATTCTGGAACCTGAAACGGTCAGCGTCAAGCTTCCAGAATCACCCTGGAACGGTTCCAGGTGATTCCGGAACGTGAAACGGTGGATTTTGCCTCCCACCCCCTCCTCTTCATCATGATATTCCCCCTCCTCCTCCTCCTCGATCCTGCTCCTCCTCCTCCTCCTCCTCCTCCTCCTCCTCCTCCTCCTCCTTCCTCCTCCTCCTCCTCTCCTCCTCCTCCTCCTCCTCCTCCTCCTCCTCCTCCTCCTCCTCCTCCTCTCCTCCTCCCTCCTCCGCCCCTCCGCCTCCCCCTCCGTTTCCCTCGATTCTCGTCATCGATCCTCCTCCTTCTCCTCCTCCTCGATTCTCGTCCTTCATCCTTGTTCTTCTTCTTTTCCTCCTCCTCCTCCTCCTCCTCGGTTCTCCTCCTCAATCCTCCTCCTCCTCCTCCTCCTCGATCCTCCTCCTTCTTCCCCCGCCCTATCACCGTGAAACCACCTCGACGGCAGCGACCCACGACAGAACTGTGCATCCGCCGGAGCACCCCAACCACGCAAACCCCGAGCCTCCGCAGCACCCCCCCCGCCCCGCGGGGCCCACACCTCCGACCGGCCACGATGCTCTCGCAACGTGCACCTCCGGGGGCCGAACCCTCCTTCTCCGGGACCGTTTTTTCGTCCTTCGAATTTTTGTTTGGGTCCGCCGAATCTACGAAATCGACGTAGCACGTTCGTAGACCTCATGAGAGCAAGAAGAGCCACTGCCAGCAGAACTCCATGGGACTCCGCTCCTGAAGGCCCCCTTCCGAGCTGGTGGTGCTCCGTTCACGGCACTCTCTGGGAGCGCCGGAGGAGGAGGAGAAGGAGGAGGAGGAGGAGGAGGGGAAAGATGACGATGACGAGGAGCACGGGGAGGCGGAGGAGGGGGTGGACCTAGAATGGCGGGGGGGGGAAGCTGCGCGAGAGAGAGAGAGAGAAAGCACGGCAGCAATGACATGTAGACTGCGGGGCTTATAAATAAGCATACATCGACGCTTGGGCCGAACAGCGGCGACGTCTCTTATATGAGTCGGGAATGCGCGAGCGATCGGAAAAGCTCTGGCGGAGAAGAATGGCCAGGAAGAAGAGGGCCCGTCCGTCCACGAGCGCATTCTAGACGCGGCAGAGAGACCCCGCCGCTGTCTGACCTGACGGGCGCGCGCACGGGGGTCGCGAGCTCATCAAATGCACTGGCGAGCTCGCTCGTGCTCTCCAGGGCGGCACTGGATGACCTCGAGCGCGCGATGATGGCGTGAGCTACCATGCGTCGCATTGCGTGATACTGGTGACCTCGGGCCGCGCGCATGACGTCTGAAAATCTGTCCTGAGACTTAGGCAGCACGGTGGCCCCGGGGTCACGCGAGCGGCGAGTAGACCTGGTGGGCGGGGGAGAAGGTGATGGATATAGATGGACCTCGAGGGGCGCGCGCGCTATTTTGGCGCGCCTCGCGATCCGTCGGACACGCTCCGGACCTCCGTTGGCAACCTCCTCGCTGGGCGCGCCGGGCTCGGCGTGGCTCGTCGGCGCTAGCTGCGCGGAGGGCTGCGCTGGCGCGCCGGCGCGTGACGCGACCTTCCCCCAGCCGCGCGGGTCTTCTTATTATTATTACTCTTTGGGCGGTCAGCGGCGTCGTCCGGAGCGGGATAGCTCTCGCCCTTGATCTTGCCCTTGCCCTTCCAGCAATCACGGCAGCGCGCCCTCGGGGGCCGAAGAGCGCCGCGGCCCGCGCCCTGGTCCAGCGCGGGCGCGGAGTCGACGGGCAAGGCAACGTCGGTCTCCAGCTCGAACTGTGAGCCGCGCTGGTCTCGTCGCACGCGGCCTCGCCAGGTGGCGACCGAGAGTGGCGCTCTGGCGAGCGGCGGCGACGAGGTGGAGTGCGCGGCGCACGCTCGCCCGAAAGTGAAGGGGGGCGCGCTGCGCGCTGCGCGCGGCGACGGCCCCGCCGGCCGCCCATGGCCAGGCGGGCGGCTCTCGGACAGGGGGGCGCGCCGAGCGATGCACCGCCAAGCTCGGCCAACGGATCTCGACCGAATCTGGACCAGGGCCCCGCGCGCATCGGCGCCCCGCAACGCCGGCATTCGCATCGCTGCTGGGGGCCCGCAAACTCCAGAGGCGATAAAGTTTCGTCGTGAAGGTCGCGGGTGCGATGCCCGACGGGGCGTTCGTAGATGTGGGCCTCGGATCATTGGCCGTGGATTCTCCGCGCTTCGAAAGTAATTCCTACGCGGGGCCCAGGGCCCATCGCGTCGACGCTCAACAAGGTGCGACGGAGTGCCTGTTCTGGCACCAGATCCGCATGCTGCCAATTGCGCGCGAAGTTCGCTTCGCGATCTCCTCCTCGGACCCGGCGAACGACTGAGTGTCCTCCGAGATTGCTGCGGCCAGCACCTTTGGAGGAGGCGGCGCATTTGGCGGGTCGGTGTCGTCGCGGGCGCCTTACCGGTCGGCATCAGCTGCGAGTGAGACGCGGCCGCCGCGCGGCGTCTGCGCGGAGATGGCGGGCGCGGCCGGGAATGGGGAAAACCCTGGGCCTGAGCGCGGCCTTGTGAAACAAGTGCCGTTAATGCCGCGCGCCTTGTCTCGTTGCTGCTGCGCTAGGCGACCCACGTCGCGACCCCTGCATCTGCGCGGCGGCGGCGTCATCGGAGCCGCGCCGGAAACACGGATCATCGCCAGCGGCCCCGACGGGTCGTCGACTCTTGCCCAAGTGCCTGGAGGGGGCGTCGGAGACCAAGCCCGTGGCTGAAGCTGTGCGCGGTAGCTCTGCCGTGCTCATCCGCGACGGCTATGGGGGGCGCCCCCCTGACGGGCGCGCTCCTGGGCCCCGTTGCCAACGCCTTGGATGCTCAGAGGCTTGCTCGCGTGGAGCTCCTGTGGCCAGCGCCCAGCCCCTACGGCTCGGCGGCGCAGCTGGCGCGCGAGCTTCTCGCCCGCGAGGTCGGTCCGTGCACCCAGGTCTACGATGGCGCTGCGCTCGCCAGGGTGGAGCTGCGCGCGACTGCGACGCACCTGAGCATAGCACACTCGCTTGCCGGGCCAACTGCTGGCCACCAGGGTAGCAAATCGGCTTCGCCGCTTCGTGGCGAGCCCCGAGGTGACGGCCGCCTCCAGATGCAAGAGCGCCGGGGGATCTCGCCGATCGCCGCGTCTCACAGCGTGATCGAGACACCGTTAGCGCCGGAGGGCGCGTCTTCATCGGGAGCTTCGCGGGGCGCGCTGCCGACCTGGATGCGCGCGAC